TAATATCTTGTTTTATGGCCATCAATGTTTTTGTATTTTTTTGTTTTGTTTCATCAACATAGCAAAATACAATCTTCTTATTAAACAATAATTATCAGATGGCAAACAATTCTTTTTATTGGTTTACATTGGCAGGTCACAGTCTAAAAGCACAACCACATCAGGCAGAAATTGCACACAGACCGCTCTGGATTTTGAAGACTATTTTTTATGCTTCTACAAAAAGACCTTAATTTAAAACTGGGGACTTTAACAAATACTAATTAAGTACATGGGTTTCTTTTTTCTTTTTTTTTTTTTCTTTAATTGGTAAATAAAATAACTGAAATTGCAGAACTTTATTTTCATTTCAGCTCGATTTTTAATGTCTGTGCTCCATGTTAGCAAACATGCTCTGAACTACCCAGCAATCTTTTATAAAAGTTCAATAACCCAAATAATACCCAGGTGATTTTTTTTTTCCCTATCCTGGAATACTGCAGATTTATTTCAATTAGGCCTATTCCTTGGCGCTTTTTTTTGTGTTGATATTGCATTTTTAACTCATTCCTGAAGTCTAGGGGAGTTTTACATGTGATATTATGACACCATACAGTCACAATGTCAATATTTCTGTAAGAAATGGTTGTAGGTGGGCTTGGCCAATAAATATGCAGTTGTACTAGTTGTAGAAAGCATTTTCATGTCTTCAAGAACCAGACTGGTCTTAAGATATTACTCTTTATTTGAGACAGTTACCATTACTTCATTAAAAAATGACAAAACAGCAATAAACATTTTAGCTCTTTAATGAGCAAAGATCAGGTCTCTTAACATTGGAATAATATTCGTTATCCAGATTATCTTTATTTCACTCAGTGACCAGTAATATGGCCAAGAAATACAAAGTAATTTTCCATCAAGTAGTATACAATTTTTGTGTGTAATAAGCTTTCATTCTTGAAAAAGAGTAACTGAAAAGAAATGTTTCTGTTACTGCAGTTAGTTTGTCAGAGAAAGTTCTTCGCATTATCTTACAAACTATCAAAATTGCTAGTAATTTGAAAAAATGTAAAAAAAAATCACATAACTTTAGTCTAATAGAAATATAGTACAGGTAAGAGAGAAAGTATTTATCAGGGATGTGCTCTTAAGTCCATCTCAATTATTTCTTTTATATAAATGTACATCTGATTACATATACAAACATTTTGAAAGGACCGTGGTATAGAATTACTGGAAAGCAACAGGGGAATGAAAAATTTCTTGTGATTTTAGAACATTCATTTCAAATCACACAAACATATGTAGTATTCAGATTTTTAAATTTCCAGTTGTTGGCTCTCTCCCCATTCTTACATACCCTCTTTTTCTACACTCTTGCCATCTGGTCTAGAGAATTCATTGGAATGGAAAAGCTAATGTATAGCAAAAAGGGAATTAACATTATTTTAAAGTATTATAAGTAAACTTTGTAACATGCAACATGAGTTGAAACAATAAACTGAAAGGTGTAATCAGAGCTATAATATTGAGGCATTTTCATATGGCAAAATGTTGTTGCAATTAAATTTTTGGACACACTTTTCTTATCAATTTGAACTAAATATATCATAACTAAATCACAGCAAATTATAAATCCTTCTTCAAAGGAGATTCCATTAAAGTTGTAGTTATTTTAAAGTTAGAAATTATTTAGGTGGAAAGGAAAAAAAGTTAATAATACACATTTTTTGTCTGGGATTCATATCAGTGAGGGTCCACCACTTTTTACTTAGAATGCCATAAATACCTTTAAGAACTGTTGCAATTCCTTTCCTTTCTGAAGCTACCATGAAATATTTTACTGTAATTACTTTTGCCCCTTTAAAAAAACTTCTTTAGGTTGTGCCAATTGATGGAGAAAGCTTCTATTAAAAACTCCAATGGGATGAGAAGAATTTTAATTACGGCTTAATCAGCAGCACAGCCACCAAGCATATAAATTATCATGCACATCGTGCTAAAAATATCCAGTTTCCTTTATTCCCACAACTTTTATACTGACAGCACTTATGTGATAATGTTGTACCTGCCAGGCTGTAAAACTTCTTTGACTGGCAGATTTCAGCATGAGCCACTTTCTAAGGCCTTAACAGCATTGGTGCTTTGTGTACTTATTCAAATATGTAAATATGGTCTACACAAGAAAACAGGTCCAAATAAAAATTGGTGAAAATTATCTGACATTCCATTAGTGTGTCCCTTGTGCATATTTATAGGTTTTTAAAATTTTCAGTCATAGTTCTTTCCCGTTTGTGTTGCACATGCCTAATTCCATTATGTAACTTAAATCTTCAAAAAATTAATACTTGAATGTGAATGAAAAAGTATCATTCAGGACAACTGCTTCAAGCAATTGCAAACAGTTGGTAGTTTTGTTTTTTGTTTGTTTTTTTTTTCTTTTGTTTTGTTTGTTTCGTAAGTTCATTTGATATATGTACAATTCATTTTTTCCAAAACCCCAAAAGTTCTTGATATGTATATTCACATAATATTCCTCCATATTTAAATAGTAAGAGTCTTGTAGGTTGAAAGCCAAGTAATCTTCAGTAATATCACCTACTGTAATCCATCAAAAAATAAAGTTTGTTTTGTCTTGTCTGGCTATACCCTGGTTGTTGAGTGTGAATGGGGGTGGGGATGAGGATGGGGCAGAGTGTTGTTCTGTCCTCCGGTGAATGTGTTGAATGTGTGTAGGGGTTGAATCCCTGGTATAGTGTTGGGGATCATTGTGATGGTGTTGGGTGTCATTAAGGGAATATCATCAGGAGACCTTCTCATAGCTAGCGTGTAGTCTGGGGGACAGGCGGTCCTAAGAACCACCTCATGTGGATGGATGGACTCACATTCATGATCCAAGTCAGTGTGCTTCATTTGGAGGGACATTATCTCCTCTTCTTGTGCATGGGTAAGATCATTGGTAGTCGTACGCTGTGGGCTACATCTCCTGTGGACATCGTGTCTCCGCTTGTCCTTTTTGTAGTACAACGCTGCAAAGGCCAAAATGTTCAGGAACAGCAAAGATGCGCCAACTGCAATAGTAACGCTCAATTCTGTGGAATAGTCCCTTTGATCCACTGAAAATGGGCTTGGTTGTTGTTTGGGATCATCTTGTTTGGCTGTAGGAAAGGCTGAAGTAACTGAAACAGAATTTTTCCTTGTTGGTCTGAAAGTATTATCAGTGGATGGCACTTTAGTTGTGGTAGAGGTATACTGTGAAATGTCGTTAAGATTGTGCAGATGAGGTACCAGTTCCAACCAAAGGTTCACTTTATTGGCCCTATAGTGTTCTTTAACTCGTGGTTTTAATCCAATGTGAAGATAGAGTTGGTCTTTCTGAGAATATCTGGTCCATGCTACTTCTTCAAAACGATTTGGTTTTGTATGGATGAATTTTGTATCTTGTGGCACTGGTTGATTTGGGTCACTAAAAAAAAAAGAGATATCTCCAATGTTACAAAGCATTTCAAACAGAATTATAAAATTAACATAATTAAGATTTTATACTAAATGTTTAAATCTGCCTTTGGACAGAGCAGAGTGCTATTCCCTAAAATTAGAGGCCTTAATAATCTTGATTAGAAACAGCATTATGCAAATGAACCCTTCTTTTACTCAGATTTCAGTGACTCCCTTAGTTCCCCAAAATGTTACTGTCTCTCTCACATTGAAAACTTGTGCTGCTGAGGACAGATTGCCATCAGTGTGGTGATGTGGACAAATGATGAGAGACGAGTGTGAGAGGACATTAAGATTTGTTTTTCTTTTTTACCAACATGAAGCTTGTACAGCTCAGCATCTCCTTTCATATGCAGCATCTGTGGCCTTCCAGGGGGGAAAGATCATGGCAGAACACAACTCAGTGCAACACAAAGTCAAAAATAACAATGGTCAAAGGTAACAAAGTGTTTTGAGCTTCCAGTGAAAGAAGAATTAATAAAAATGACAACACTTTCCAAATTTAAAGTCGCATATTTTATGGCCAGAAATGTCAATTTAAGACAAACTGTGCTCTTAAAATAAAATTTATTATATTTGATGCAATATTTGCGTAATTTTGTGTCTCATGGGATGAAAATATCAGTATTGGGATAAAGTCAGTTACTAATGTAACTATATTTAACTATACACATGTGTTAAATGCTTAGTTATAACACCTTTCTGGGGTTCCCATAGTTATATTTGTGTATTTTTAAAAATTTCTTCACACAGAATGTCCGCAAAGATATTTTTCCCTCTTTTTGCCAGAATACATAAGTGAGCTGAGGGACATTACAATAAACATAAATATCCAACCCAATTCTTAACCTCTTATTCATCCTACAAGTACAGAGACATTCCCAATGCAGATAAACAATGGAAGGCACTGCATCATTCCATCCTGAGTTTGCACACAAGACCATTCATTATCTGGTACTCACCCAGTCTTTGCAAAGTTTGTCCAGTACGTCATCACCACCGCACTTAGCATGACGTCATTTTTGGAGAAATTGCAAGGAAATAATTCAGTAGGACCAATCATGGGGATTCCTAGTACGTAAGGAACCTCATCTCCATGGGCTGCATCTGCCCATGCAGGTACCTGATCTGTCTGGCAATGATGGTAGAAGGCATAGAAGTATGTAGGCGATCCAAAATTCGAGTGAAGATCTGCTGTGGCCACTGCTGGTGCAACCCACTGGTGATCAGTAAACAAAGCCAGCAGTGTTTTCCTTCTGGTCTCAGGATTGTGTCGATCTGCCCAGTCCGTGTACATAAATTTAATAGTTTCCCTCAATATATCTTTGCCTTCCGGGTATCCGTACAAGTTATCGACAAAGTTAGAAACTGCAAAGTCAAAATCACTAGCCGATATGCCATCTTCACTGTCCACGATGTTTTCAACAAATTTTAACCCTTCCCCTTGGTTAACTCCCAACATGATGTCATAGTTGAGGAATTCTCCTTGTTCCATCAGTATCTGAGGATCATCTGGTATCACATCGCCATCAATGACCGGTCCGAAGGCTATGTGGTATCTTGCTGGTTGAATGTCCTGGTCGACAAGTTCTCTATAAGGCTTCTTCTGTAGACATTCTACCAGTTCTACAGTGTCTGACATGTTGCAACCAACTTTTGTAGCCAACATCCTGGCGTATTTTGCAGGCTGAAAACTAACTGCCCAGCTGGAGAGAGCTGTTCCACTTTGAGCTATTGCTCTTTGAAAAAGTCCTGTGGGGAGAAATATTTGAAAACTACTGAAGTGACCTTGAAACAGCTACAGACTTGAAAGATTCAAAGGAGTTCTTTGAAACAACAGAAAACTTCAACAGGAGAGATACCTGAATCTTAATAGTACTTAAATACAAGGGATCTGACTTCTGTTGTACCTACAGGTAATGTGCACAAAATAAATGCAATGTGTGCTGAAGCAAATGATTCTACCCCAATATAGTCCAGCTGAGGAACAGATTTTTGAAAGAAACTCAGGCAGAAAAAAAGAAGTGGTATTACCTTATGTAGGATAACACTAACAGCTTGAAACAAATCCCTAAAATTAAAGCAGTTTATAGGTTGGAGGAAAAGCCAACAAGTCTGTGAAATGGGTTGAAGTTGCATGCATACAACAATGTGTTAAATAAACCTAATACACTTCTTTATGTTTTGTTTGGGATTAAACCTGGTTTGAGAAGTGCTTTTGAATTGTCTATAATTTCAAAGTTTATATTCTGGAGCAACAGATGAGAAGGTACTAGGCAGCTATTAAATTTATAAGTGTCTAAGTCAAAATCCTTTCTTGTAAGGAGCTTTTTAAATGCAGGTTTATATTGATCAGACTTACATAAAAAGGGAAATGATATATTTTACACTATTTAGCTTTGTAATTCGGAGATTTAAACATATGTTCATATATTCTTTTAGAGGAGAGAGAATGATCCAGCACTACATATAAACTTGCAGTAAATCCCAAAGACTTCAGTGCAATTAATTTGAATTTATGCTGGTTTAACTAGCACTCTGGACCAGGAATTCTACCCACAGAAATAACAAAATATGTTGAAATTGACATTTACTTTTTTTTCTTCTCCCTTCTGTAAGCATTTTTAAAACACATCATGGATGAGAGCCTCAGCCCCGATAGTCAATGAATCAATCTAATTTTTTTGCTATTGGATTTAATGCAATCAAAACTCCATCCTTACTGTTCACACTTCTTGTGTTCTCTTTGTGTTGGGGCTTGGACTTTTCCAGCTCCATTTGGGGAGGGTAATTTGGTGTCTGAAAGAGATTATGAGTCTGAACCTTGTGCAAAATAACACTCAGAAACTTAGGCTATATTTAGGTAACTGTGACCTATTCTGGGTTTTTTGTTTGTGAGTTTGGCTGGTTTGGTTTGGTTTTTTGTTATTTATTTTCATTAAAGTTAATTTCGGGAGTACATATTTTGCACAAATTACTGGAAAATATTTTATACTGGACCCTGCCTCCTATAGTTCACTGTGGATAATAAAAAATGGCTATAGCATTCTATGCTGATTTAAGATATATGGGTCAGAATTTTGTTTGACTTATCCTGATAGACACCTGGAATCATTCCACTGACTCTGGGAGAGTTACTTGATGACTGGAAGCAACATCTGGCCCCACTCACTTAATTTTCCTAAGAATGCATCTTTGTTCCAATGCTTGACGAATAGCTGGATACTCCCACTAAAGGCACTGGAGTGAAGGTGCTCAGCTTACTTCAGAAATGTATTCCAGTAATGCACAGGATGGCTTTTACTTTGATAAGTAACATATTTCTGTTGATAGTAAACTTCCATAGCCTCTAAATCCAATCAGAGACATGCTTTCACAGCCTCTACTGCAGCATCAGACCCTGTGCACTCACAGGTTAGTTGGAATCTGTTGCTGGCAGGAAACATTTTATGAGCTTCTGAGGAATTTTAAAATCATTCTAGATTGTATTAGATCCAAATCCAAAAATCTTAAAATAAGATAGGTGTAGAGACTGAAATACGTAAACTCCAGACTCTCCTTAAATTTATGAGAAGTTATATCCGAGATATTATTTCCTAGCATGATATGAGTAAAAATAAGAATGAACTTGAGCTATAAAACAGCTAAAAATATATTTGCATGTTTATAAGGTCAGATATTGAGCTAGCATAAATCAGCTCAAAGTCAGTGGAATTACCACAGAGGATCCAGGCATTGTAATAAATATAACAAAGTGACAAAGCTGAATTTTAAAAAAATATGTATTTCATGATACTCCATAATGTGTGGGGGTTTTTGGCATCTTTTGTAAATCTATTTTTATTGCTTTATTAAATATGCCTGAACAAGGACAGAAAGTGTAAGCTAAGTGTAAGAAAATGCTGATATAAACACTGTGGCTTGCTAAGTGCTACATAAACATCAAATGCAGGATTAAAAAGTGGTCAAGTCCTCTGGCCATAAAGCTTTCTGAGGAAGGGAAACTAAACATCCCTCCTTTTGCTGAAGAATGCTTAGAGAAATATTCCTCCACTCAAACCATGTTGGTGAAAAATGGACAATGTTATGAAAAATTATTTTCATTCTGTGACACAACTGGAAGAAATTTGTACCTCACAGGATGGAGAACTACATTTTTATCTGATAATGTGTATGGTTATTATCTCTTATGGGTTTCAGACTGATGGAAAGAAGATTTAAATGCTCAATGGACCATAGCACTTTGTGACTCCTATTCAAAGCATCACCAAAGTAAATAATAATAATAATTTGCATATATCCATCTATATTTTCAGAGCACTTTCCGAAAATGGCTGCTGTTCTTTCTGCCCACTTGCAGGTGGGCGGCTAACAAACAGCACCATCTTGAAATAGGCTGAAGTCCTCCTCTCAGCTGCCAAGGGAATCTTTCAAAGGGAAATGACAGGAGAAAAGAGAGCACCCGAATTTACAGATTATCAGAGAGACTGGTTGATAATCATAGAATCATAGAATGGTTTGGGTTGGAGAGGACCTTAAAGATCTTCTTGTTCCAACTCCCTGCCCTAGGCAGGGACACCTTCCACTATCCCAGGTTGCTCCAAGCCCCGTTCAAGCTGGCCTTGAACACTTCCAGGGATGGGGCAGCCACAGTTTCTCTATCCAGCCTGTGCCAAGGCCTCACCACCCTCACAGGGAAGAATTTTTTCCCTAATATCTGATCTAAATCTGCCCTCAGTGTGAAGCCATTCACCACTTGTCCTCTTGTAAAAAGTCCTTCTCCAGCTTTCAAATGTGAATGTGAAACAAAATAACATGAAATAAAAGGGGGTTTGGAAATGTTAAAATATCAGAAAATGTTTAAATACTTGAAATAATTTTTCTTATTTGAAAGTGACCAATTTTTTTTTTTTTCATGGCAGGTCTAACCACCTCTGAAAGAAATGTAACATGCTTGGGGCTATGGCACATTGTTCTGTTTAATCCAAATTAGAAAAAAGCATGAGTTCGCTTTCTCATAAAAGAAATCCTCAAAAATTTACTAACTTCAGTTCCCCTCCCATAGCTCTGCTATGTTGACAATTTGCTGCATCAGTTTCCCCAGACAAATTCTGTCAGAACTCTGGCCATGTGTTGCCACATGACATGGTAACATCTGCTTATAAGAGGCAACACATGACTGTCCAGATACTGTAAATATGGGATTTCTCATTATTGTCATGTTATGTCAAGAGGATCAATATTATCATAATGTAAGATTTAGGGGAGGATAAACCAGGTCTCCTCAATCCACCTGAAATGAAACCCTTGATAACAAAGTTGTTTTTGAGGGTTCCGATAAAAGAAGATGGTGCAGTGTGACCCTCCCGTTACCCTGTGATGAAGTAATGCTTACATCTTGTTCTTATAGGTCAGCTTATAAATATCTTCTGTTTAAGTGCAGGTAGTTATGGAACAAAAAAAAAGAAAAGATTATTTTAAAAATCAAATTGCGGAAATAGACTAAAATTCAGACCACAGTCTTATTTTCCACTTGACTTTTCTTGTAAAACATATCTTTTTCTCTCTTTTAAAATAGTGTAACGGCATGATCTAAAGAAGCTGTCACTTCTATTGACCTCAGTGGGATCTGCACCATGATGTTGGGTAAATGGAGCTCTTTTAATGTCAGTGGAATTACGTTTTTATGACTGGCCAATTAGTCCCCCATGGAGATACAGCAATAGAAATTAGGGGAGGATTATATGTACAGGGCACAGTGTGATGTCCCTGGTAAAACTAAACAATACAGATAAAAATACGTGAAAACAGTGAGACAAAAGTAATGTGATCAATAAGCAAGAGCCATGCAAATGAGAGAAACTGTGTGAAACTGTGGTGCAAAAATCATAGAAAAAAAAATTGGGTGCCTCAAACAGCCTGTTTTTAATTTCCTGCTGTCTGCCTCGACTAGAGAGAAAAGGTGTTAGTTATGGAATAGGAAAAAACATATAGAAGAAAATCCATTTGCAACTTGGATGCTTTGACAATTTTGGATCATGCATGCAAAACATTCAACCATTCTTTTATTAGATGACAGCAAGTGAAGTTCATGCAGTTTCAGACAAAAGATTTCTGAACTAGGTACTTGTTTCCTTCACACAAAATAATAGTTTTAAGCATTGCAGCTGTTAGCCTGAAAAGAGAAACTGTGTCATTTTATTTTTCTTTAAATTCTGCTCCTCAGGAGAAACTAAACACGCCTTTCACGACTGTCTGAATAAAGACGACCTCATCTACCGTGAGCATGACTGACTGGTTTTCCAAAAAGGACACCCTTAGGTAGGAAAGAAAAGAGACAAAAACGATGCACCAAGAAAATGCTGTTCAAAAGTCTGCTATGAAGTGTTTCTACAAGGCTCCATAGGAAAAAGAAGAAAGTGACCCAAAATTTAAACATGCACAGAAGAGCTGAGGGAGAAGGAGGCTTGTACAGCCTATAAAAAGTTTTCTTAATATTGAGCTGAACTCAACAGTTCAAAGGAACAAAGAGAATATACAGAACATCACATAGTACTAATGGTGGTGGCATGCAGACACCAAAATTGTCAAAATTTGCAACCTGCATAATACCTTTGGTTGAATTGCTCCAACGGTTACCTTCAGAATAATGGGATAAAGTCAACAGATTGACGCATGAACCGCCTGCACCAGATCCAAAAACAGTTATTCTTAGTGGGTCACCACCAAAGAACCCAATATTTTCACTAGTCCATCGCAAAGCTTGAATTAGATCAAGAAGGCCATAGTTTCCTTTTGCCGCTTGGTCCCCGGTGCTCAGAAATCCTGTGAATGGAAATGAAAATAGAAAGGATTAGCAAGTGCTCTTCTGAGTAATCCTGTTTAAGTCTTCCAAGTAAGATTTCAAAAGTATATGCTGTTAAATATCACAGAACTACATAATTTGCCATATTACCTGGGAAAAATCTGCAATTTTACACTGTTTCTGAAGCCAAATTACTCTGTAGGCACTCTTTTGGCCATGATATATTAATGCAGGGAAGATGAAGATCCCAGGCAAAATACTCATCTGAATCTTAACAGGTTACAACATATTAATCCCAAAGACTTTGTGTTGATTGTACTAAGGTTAAGAGCAAAGGTTAGCAAACAGATAAGATGCAGTTGTTTTGTATGGGATTTGGTCAACTCTGTGTTGCACTTCTGTACTTGGATGCAGCCATGAGCTTTGCACATGGCCTGAGAGGAAATGATTCCCTGTAGACTCTGTTTGATCATATCCTGGCAACATATCACCTTTTACTTTTTTCTCCACCCAAAAATGCAGCTTGTGTCACAAGACAAGACGAGTTGAACAATGAGAGCAGCTCTCAACTCCCCCAGCTCCATCCCATAGTCATTAGCCTGAGTTAATTGAATCTACATTAAGTGGATAAAGACAATTTAAGTTGTTTCCATGACCCCTTAACAGCAAAAAGATAGGAGCTTAGGGATAATCTGGAGAGCACTACGATTGCTCCCTTTTATTCCCAGTGGAGAAAAAGCTGTGGAATATGTGAGGTGCAGGAACAACTTTCACACTTTACTCCCAGCAGTACCCTCACATTTAGTATTGCTGTTACTCTTGTCATTAGAGCCTACTGACTCCAAAAGGAGTACAGTAAAAACTTTGAAGAAAGTCTCTGTTGATAAGAGACATTGCTTTTGGATCCCATTTGTTGACATTTCCAATTTTCTCAGTTTAATAAACAAATGTTTAAATAATACCAGCATTATGAAGTAGTCCATACCTTCATTTGCATATCAAACTGATTTAATGCTCCCTAAATCATGTAACTGTTTTTTGGTACATGCTTTGTAGAGAAATGCAACCATTACAACAATTATTTCCACATTAATTAGATATCAGTGAGCCTTCTAGTCTCGTCAAAGTTCTACTGATTTAACTCTCTTGAGTGCAGACAGCCTACTCAAAAGAAGTTTACAGTAGTTTTGCAGACAAATAGCTCTCAAAGGAGTCCTACTGTTTCATTATGACAATAAAAGGAGCTTTTGAGACATTTCTAACAAGACACGTGTGCACATACATCTATAAAGCAAGGATTTAAGAAGACTACAGATAGGTGCATGTGTATACCTAAATTCATGGATATAATGAACATGTCATTTGTTACTTTATTACTCTGATTTGACTTCAAAGTTTGCATTTGCTATTCTGTCCTATGTGTAGACATTTATACTAACAGCCCTTCTCTGCTGTAAGCTGAACTGAAAGCTAATTGGCCTTGCTGCCTCAGTAGTTGAGCTCTGCTCCATTTAGGGCAAGAAGCTTTTCTTGTGTAGGTCAATCCTGATTTTTGCTATCATGGAGAGGGAACAGTAAAGTGGCATAGGGTGCCAGGCCAGCAATTCTCCCGCTTCCAGACCTAATGTACCAAGTCTAATGGACATACTTCATTCACTGTAGCCATAGTAAATTGTTACTCTGTACTAGACTTTAAAATAACCACTATTCTACAACTAAAACCTGCTATATTTACTACCTAACTGCATATAAAGCAAAGTAGCATTGCTACCATTGCTACCACCTTGATATTCAGGGAAGGCCCAGAAAAGAAGTAATAATTATAACTAATTCATTCATTCTTATTTTACTATTACAGCTCAGCACAGAGTTGAGATTATTATGATGTCATTTTACTCTGCTTCACTCTTCTTTATTTTCCTCTGTGGCCAGAGGGTTGGTGTGAGTGCCTCTGTGAAAGCATGGACCCCATACAATCCTTCCAGAAGTATTCATTCTTCTCTTCATGCTCCAGTAAAATGTTGTCCCCCATGAACAGTTTTTAAGGACACAGAGAGATGAGGCCTTTGAACATGACAGCAAACCTAGTGAGAGCTCCCTAACCAGTGTCACTGCCTTTGCCAGCCTGCTTGGAATTGAGGAATGGTACCAGGGACAGTAAGAAAATTAAAATGTAGGAATTGATGGGAACTACAGAATCCTGTGCCTACATATGCTGGGAGAGTCTTCCCCTTTCTTTGCATAAATATAGGACATTGGAAAATCAGTGACAAATCAGTTTATCATATTCAGCACGTAAGTGACTGCACTGATTTAAGGGATTACAGGAATGATTGGCACTAGTGAGTGGTCCTTGAAACACAGGCGGAAATGAGATGAGAGTGGTTACAGAAGTTACCAAAATTGTGACACAAACGTGTCCCTCTTTGCTTTTTTCCATTTCCCTGGCTTGCAGATTCCCTCATTCTGGTCAGGATCTGCTCTCATCACAGCTGCAGCATTGGTTCAGTGAGATCCTCTAGATTTCTCAGAATGATTCTAAGGCATTTATTAGGAAAATAGATGGTGGGTTATAGATTAGATACAGCAATTGCCCTGAAGGAACACAAATGAAAACATTCAAACTTTCTGAAAAAGTTGTTTTCTTTACTCTTTATAATATGCAGTAAAGTGGAAATAAAGTAAGTCTTTGCCTGGAAAAGCAAGAGATTAAAATTATAGGTAAAGCCTTAGAGCAATCCCCTGGTGTTAAATGAGTTCACATCAAGCCCCGAAGCTGGATAGGGAAATGTGAAATCCTTGGAAAACTATAAATATACTACTTTTAAAGAATCTTTGTGAAAAGTCTTGTTGCTAAAAGTAGACATCAGGAACCGTGCATTCAGTTCAGGGAATGTGCCAGGAGGGGGAGCTTTCAGTTTAGTTAAAAAAAAAAAAAAAAAAAAAAAAAAAAGGCAGTATTAGTAATATTCTCCTCATTCATCTATATTAAACAAATTATGACTTGTGTCCAGAGCAACAGCTCTGATGCAAAAGAAATATCTCACGCGTCCTCAGCAAGAACCACATTGGCTGACTTCCATATCTGCACAAGATGGATGATGATTGATGTTGACTTTCATGACATGAAACATTTCTATCTCATTTTTCAGAACCATAAGAAGCCTGTTAATATCACCACCTGTTCATGCCTTTTTTCCCTTATGCAGTGGTATCAGCATGGCTTAGGAGAATTCAGAATGTCGTGAAATCAGACATAGGACTGATAAAACAGATGAGGTTTTTCTTTCCAGTTGGTGGTGGTGGTTTTTTTTAGCTCGTGAGGAGTGCCTCAACACACATAAACTCATCGAGCTAAACACCTGTAGAGAAATGCTTTAACACACAGCATTGTATCCAGCCTGTCAGTCTGTGGGTACAGGTACTTATCCCTATTTATCACTTAGATAAAATGGAGATTGGAACAATATGCTATGTCTTTATCCCAAGAGGAGCTTTCAGGATGTAATTAATATAGGTACCATGCATTTCCATGCATTCCTATGACACAATCATCACACTAGTTATTAAGCTCCCAATTTTGAGTCACAGAGGGGAACCTGCTCTCACTGAAAAGGGCTTGTGTGTCTGAAAGCTCCTCTGTTTTTAAACTGCATCAGCTAGTCTATTAAAATATATTATCTCTTTCTGCAAATACTGTCTTATTATTATCCTTGGATTGTCATCTCACCAAGAACACTGCTATCATTTTCTGCCACCTTTTGGCCTTGTAAAAAAAGGGAAGTAAATTGTTCCTTATTTTAGTTATTCCAGGAAGACAGTCTCAAAAAAACTTAGTTTTGCATTATTCTCTAAAAAGGTCAGATTGAGCTAATTTTGTTCCATAATTAAGTCCTTCTACTGGAAATATTCCAATCGTTAGCTGAACAATTGCTATTTTATATTCTGAATGGAGAGGTTATCTCTTCTTTTATCTCCTCCAGAGGAGCAGACTCTAATAGAATTATGGAAGTGAGGATGTGGTCTTTTGTGAGTTTAAGAAAGAGATTTATTAAGCCCATTTGGACCATTTCTCTGTTACATGTCTGTTAGACAAATATGCAGAGAGTGCCACAACCAGGTCCTGTATTTTTTATTAAGATAAATTTTAATGCTTTGTAGGCTTATCTGTCTGGGTAATGATTTCTGCTTGCCATTCAAATAAATCTTTTTCTAATATGATTCCAGCATTTTTGAAGAGTAAATAAAATAATGGACTTGGGAAACTTAAAATATTTAGTTGAAAACCTTACCAGTTTGAATTACTTTAAGCTCTGGCCTAATTTGAACATTCAAATTAATGCAGAAGGGAAGGCCAAGACAGAATTTTTCCTAATGTAAGGGGCAGAATGTCTTGTTGGACAAAAGAAATATCTGCCTGTGAGAAGATGCACAGCAACAAATACTACTTTAAAAATTAAGAGTGTATAAAGACTGGTCTGACATGCTTAAATGGGTTTTTTGAAGTGCTATGTCTCTGAAAGCAGTAACACTTAAGACTTTAATATTACCCACCTGCTTAGGCATGTGTTATAATAATGGGGTTTCCAGTTACAATTCCCTGTGCGATCAAATGCCATCTTTTATTTTGTTAAAAGAAAATGTTAAATTGTACAGGTATAAATGCACCAATGCATACTGGAAGAATACAGGGCATATTTTGAGGGAAGAGTTTATGTTCTCTCTGAATCACAAGTTC